ATACCAAATATTGTTCAAGTTTTACACATATTCCTTCATTTAAAAAAAAAAAAAATTTGCATCTCCCGCAAGCCCCTCTCAGCTTCCCATGTAAGCCATGAGGAGGTCTCTGTAAAGCACTGAAGAGACAGCTACAAATAAATTTAGCAAAACTCATCACTCAAACATCGAATTAGAGGCCAGCCCCAGTCAGGACTAGAATAGCTGGATTTGAATTTGAAAGGTGAAAAAAGAAACAGTTCCCTGGGAAAGGCACATTATTGAATTAAATGCTCAACACGCAGGCATTTATATATCTCAAATGGAAAGGGCAAGCATGATACTTTGATGTTTGATAAGGGGATGGAGACTCAATATGTAGATGAAACAAAAATATGACTGCAATAAGATACCAGCCTTGAAAAGTTTTGTCAAAAAAAAAGGCTAGTTTTCTTCATTCTAATACTCACACCTGTGCAAATTCACACAAAGTAATTGTTCTATTTGTGGTTAGGTTCATACTATTTCTAATAAAGGCAAGATCATATATGCTCTCATGTGGAAAGAGATAGGTTTTGGATGTCTTTTCTAACGACACCCTTTTATCTATTCCTTTACTGAATTTGGATGTCAGTGCTCAGTTTCTGTGTAACATCACTTTGCTTGCATCAGCTCGGCATTAATTGTGAAACATCTTACTCACTGTGCTGAGCATGGAGAACTGCAGGGTTTCTGCATGAGCAGGCTGCCATAATTTGAGATGGAGACAGAACAAGCACAGGGTGAAGCTCTCCCCATTTCTCAAAGACAGGCCTGGCTGATTGCCTTTATTCACACGTGGTAAACCATTGGATATTTCTGCCACTGCTGTTCAATGCCACTGCATCACACCTTCTCCTGCCAGGCTTTCTGCTGCCTTAAAAGACCCATTGAACTTGAGCTCAGGGCTAGCTCCTTCTGTACTTAAAGAAGAGAGAAGTGTCTGTATTCCCACCTAATTTGGAGTGCAAAGAGGTAGGACTGAAAGCTGCTGGGAAAAAATAGTATCTGTCCCTCTTTGTTACTTCTTAGTTCTTAGGGGGGATCAATCCAGAATCCAGAGGCTAATTTTTGTGGGGATGGTTGCCTACTTTGTCCACAATCCTGAATAAAAAGTTGAACATGATGCATGTGAAGTGCTGGGAGAGCTGTTCCATGGCAGATCTCCTTGTAAACTGAGGAAAAATGGTAATAGAGAAAAAAATATTGTCAGTATTTGGGATGCGTTTAGTGCTACCAAGTATGAGATTGACAGCCTTCGATCCTGAAAAAAGGAGGGAGCAGAGCGTTGTACTTGGAAAATAGACCAGGGAGTCATCCTTTTCTTCAGGAAGGGTATCAGTGGTTTATGTAACTGCCTTGTTGGCTCTTCCTCTGGGCTTTGGGGTGTTCAGGTTCCCTTCTCTGCTTATGAAGACTTAACTTAACAGGACCCCTCCGGCACGCATAATAATCATTATGCATACTCTTGTCTTCTCCCTTCAGCCTTACTCATATTATTTAATGGGAAAGTTCAGCAAGAGGAAATGAGAATGGAGCACTCCTCCGATCCCATCCAAATCCCAGACAAATATGCAGTCAGGCCTTGTGCAAACTTGTGCCTTGTCCAGAGGCAGGAGACGTGGACAGGACTCTGTGAGGATCAACCCAGGCTGCCCCATTCTGGTTTTGTGCCCTCCACCAAAGCAGTGTAGGTGAAACAGCAGCTTCATCCAGGCACTGAATCTGCAGGATTTGTGTAGAAACTGATCTGCTGAATGTGCCATGCGAACATTAACACATACATGCCTTTTTACAAGGGCCTATAGGGACAGGACAAGGAGGAATGGACTCAAACTAAAAGAGAGCAGCCTTAGAATAGATATTAAAAAGAATTTATTTACTGTGAGGGTGGTGTGACACTGGCACAGGTTGCCCAGAGAAGCTGTGGCTGCCCCATCCCTGGAAGTGTTCAAGGCCAGGTTGGATGGCACTCTGAGCAACCTGGTCTCGTGGAAGATGTTGCTGTCTGTGGCAGGGGTTTGGAACTAAACAAACTTTCAGGTCCCTTCCAACTCTAACTATTCTATGATTCTATGAAACTTCTTTGTAAATACATAAACATTGACATCCATTCAATGCTTTAGTGCCTCCAGTGGGATGTGACAGCAGAATGAGGTTTTTGCAGGCTGAAAGGTTTTGCATCAGTGTATAAATCTCATGTAATTTTTGTGCTGTATACCTGCACTCTTTTGGAGGTGTGTGCAGTGCAGAGCAGAATTTTCAGAGCCAAAGCAGTCCTGTGAAAAAGCAAGTTTGTAGACTCTGAGGAGTCTCTTGATAAGAACAAGAAGTGAGCATTATTAAAAAATCAGCTAAAACACATTTTTGGCAATACAGCTGTCATTTACTTCTTGTAGCTTGTTTGGTAGTGTTCTATTCAGTCAAATTTTAACATACTGCCTTATCTAGAAACATTTCTGTGAACATTTCTAGCAAGAAACTGACAACTATGAGGAATATATAAATCAATCTTTTTGTTAAATTATAATAAAATCATTACGAGTTCGACTATAGTAATATTATTATTATTAATATATAAATACTACAATAATCTATCTACCATCATAATAGATATAATCAAAATTATAATAAATTTAAATTATAACTAATAGGTACAATTTTACTAATGTGGGAGTCCCCCAGAGGCTTCTCCCCAATAATGTTAAAATGGTTTGTTCAGGATCATTTAATTCTCAAAATATCCTAATTTTGCAGGTCAGTGGGAAAACCTCATGTAGCAGCTGGAAGTCCTGACTCCACAGCAGATGCTTTACTGTGCCATCCTATCCCACCTGATATTGCTTGATGTAGTGATGGGCTTAATGGTGCAACTTCTTGAGATGCATAAGCAGCTCTGCTGCAGGCCTGGGGTAGGAGCAGCAAGAAGGGCACCAGGAAGGGTGAGCCCAAGGCTCCCTGGCTGTGACTTCCAGCAGGGTCCCTTGGGTGGGATCTTCTTCCTGTTCCTGTTTACTGTTAGTTCTGAGAGGAGGAGTTCTTTGCTCGCCAGAGATCAGCTCACCATTTACTGGGTGCCAGGGAACACCCAAATAAGCCTCTGCCAGTGCTGATGCTGACTGAAGCACCTGGTGAAAGCTGACTTCCTCAAAGCCTTGTACAAAGTGGGACATGTTTCCGGAGAGGAATGAGCCAGAAGGGCTAAACTTCCACGAACAGGAAAAGTTAGAGAACCAGAGCCTGGAAGGATCTTTGGGCCCTGCAGTAAGAAGGGCTCCATTGCAACAGAAAATTAGTAGGCAGACACTGACCTGCAGAAAAAAAGTTAATGGAGCCTCAATTAAGCAGAGATTGGTCATGTAATTAGGTTGACAAGTATCCAGGCTGTTCAGAGAACACTCAGAAATTCTCTTGCATAGGACAGGCCCAGGCTGTTTCTCCAACCACAATATATATGGTTGAACTGGATGAACTTGGAAGTCTTTTCCAACTTTAATGATTCTAGGAATCTCTAATATACATCACCATCCTTCTCTCATGTTCATACAGCTAACCACAAAGGACAAGCTGCTCTGGAAGTGTTTCCCTCAGTCCTCCTTCTCCAAGCAACTTCCGAGGCTCAGATGAGCTACCTCTTGAGGGGTTTTGCCTTGAGTTCACTCATCTTCTCTAGAGGGTAATTTGTTCAGGGTAGATGGAATGTCTTCTCTGACTAAGTAGATTTATGGCGTTCCATCAACATAATATAGGGATGATGAAGTGGAACAACTCAAGTGGAAGTCACTTGACTGATGGCTTGGTTTTAGTAGTTAGCTTGTAAGTATTTCAAAGCTTTGGCAGGTATCAGTGATGCTGTTTGTACCCTATGTTATTTATATGGCATTATGACCAAGAATGAGAGCAAGAGCTGTCCAAGAAATGGCATCTCACTGACTCAGTAAGTGGTAGATGCACATCCAGAATCATCATAGGATCCAAATGATGAGCTGTTTTTTTAAGCTTAGTACTGCTCTGGTTTCTGAACTATGTATTTTCATCCCAAAGCATTCTGGTATTCATTGCACTTGTCCTTCCTTTTTCCCTCTCCACTACACTGCAAAGGGAGAGAGATAGGATGCCATTTCAGTTAGCACTTTAATTTTTAGATGATTTAGTGCTGTCAGAAGGGGGTGGTGTGGCAGTTCTCAAGATGAATATTTTCTGTCCAAGTGGAAGATATAGTGCAATGAGCAGGACAGATATTTCCTAGAATCACAGAATATGCTGAGTTGGAAGGGACCTGTGATGATCATTGAGTCCAACTTTGGGCCTGCACAGAACACCAGAAGAATCACACCATGTCCCTGAGAGCATTGACAAACACCTCTTGGATTCTGTCAGGCTTGGTGCTGTGACCACTTTCCTAGGGAGACTGTTCCAGTGCCCAACCACCCTCTGGCTGAAGAACCTTTTCCTAGTATCTAACCTAAACCCCTCCTGACATGACTTTATGCCATTCCCTCAGGTCATGTCACTGGTTACCACAGAGAAATTTCATGATTCCCACCCCTATTTTCCTTCTGGAGCTTTTGCTGAGCAGCCTTGCTCTGCACAGCTGTAGAGGGCATGGAATGTCAGTGGGGCTGATGGAGGGCTCTGAGACCCATGGCTGGGAGGAGGTGAGCAGAGGTGGATGTCAGGTTCTGTGGAGGAGAAGAGACTGCTGAAGGGCTGTCTTGTCCCCTAATTGAAAAAAAATGGAGGGTGAAGAAGACAAAAAGCTTTCTCTTTGTCCCCTATGTTTTGCCTTTCCTCTCTGTGCCCCTGTTCACACCCTCCTTTCCTATCACCCAGAAAGGGGCTGCTTTGGGGAAGGAAGGATGATGAAAGAAAACAAAACTAGGTGCTACTGTCGGGGTGAGGTGTTAACAAGCCACAACAAGCCTAAGCTGCACCGTGTTCCTCAGTGACAGGAGGCTGCCAGAAAGGGCTGTGCAGCACACCATGAAAACACCACCACACCAGGCGTGGCTGTGCCTCACGCCACCCACCTCTCCTCCAGACTTAACCATGTGGGTGCCAAGTGGGTCCTGGGTGCTTTGGAAGTTGGAGGTGAACCCGTGGGGGTGGAGTACCTGAGGAGAAGGAGAGTGCCAGGTGAAAAGGTACAGATACAAGCACTAAATAGAAGAAAGAGATACCAATCCTTGTCGCTGGGTAGTGTGTGGGACAGTGCAGGGCAAGGACAGGCACCGCTGCCCCTGCCACCTTAGCAATTTATATAGTAAAACATTCACAATATTATACTTGCCAGTTCAAATTGTGTTGCACAACAGTGCTCTTTTATGGGTGTTGAGCAAAGCCATTTTAAACGAGATGAAGAGTGCAGTAGCCTGATTAGCAGCTGTGTGCCTCAAGAATATGGCATTTCTGTTTCTCAGTTGGACTCAGTTAAACATTATTCAGTCTGTAATTCTTCTTTGTCTGGACTAGACAGATCAGTTGTTTCTGCTCATTGTAAATTGCATTTGCTTGCATAGTTGGGTGTTTTGCTCTCTCCCCTCGGCACCTGATTGTTTACATGCACCTCAATCGATCCTGCATAGACAAGGTGGAAAGGCTCAGTTCTTTGTAGCTTCCAGCCAAGATTCACTTCACAGATGATAACTGGCAAAGCCATTCAACCCCTGGGCAAACGTGCCAAATTAATTTTGAAGCTAGGCAAACAGAAACAAGTCCTTTGCCTGCATTTAGCTGCTCTGAAAAGCCTTTTGCCGAGGACAGAAGGGTCATCTGAACAGATTACAGTTTGGGCAGAATTGTTCTAAACGGGAAGGCAAGCTGGAGCCAGAGAACATGGGAGAAACAGAGTTATTTCTGAATATTTTACTGGAATTAAGAATTAACATTAGTCATCATAGTTCTGCTGGTTAATGGCGAAGTGTGCTGCCAAACTCAGCCATTCTCCAGCTTTTGGCACAGCATTGCCATGTCTCACAGAGCTGGAGAGAAGTGAGCCACCTTGCCCTAGCCTGGAATCATCCCCAAGACACGGTGTTTTCTTTCACTGCCCTGAAAGCCAGTACTTGTTCTGGCTTCCTGGCTTCCTGCCTTGCTGTTCCAAACACAGCAAGGTGTGGGACGGAGGCATGGAAAACTGCAGGGTGTTTCTGAGTGCCTGTGTGGCAAATGGACAAACTCATAACCTCCATGGACTTCCCAAACGATGATTCACAGATAGTCATGACAATTTATTTCTAGCAGTCAGTCTGCAGGGATCTTGTGGCTTCAAAAACCAAAAGACAAAACCAGTATGGGAAAGCAGGATTGTTGCTACCTTTGGATGTTGACTGACCCTTTTCCTGCTTTGCTGTGGCTATCAATCCAATTCCAGCAGCCATTTGAGCAGGACTGCATAATCTAACCTCTGCTATCTACATCTGTGTCTGCATACCTGGACAGAGAGAGACCGACTGGTGGCAGAACATCCTGGCTGACACGTACCAGAGTGCAACTAAGAGAGACACCAGCAATTAACAAGGCTCTGGAAGAAGTGACTGGTTGAGAGACACTCCAGACATCCAGGTTAAGCCCTTCATTTGACCCTGAGCAAATTATTCAGCTCCTATCTGTAAAATAGTGTTAATGGCATTCTTCTGCTCTGTCATGCTCCTGATGCCTTAAGAAATGTTTGGAAAGCCTCAATGGAAGCACAGCAGAGTCATTTCAATGTGCTCTGTGCGAGTGTGCAGGGAAAAGGCTTTGCCTTCAGGCACAGCAGTGCTGAGAACCAGCACTGCAGGTTCACTCTTCCATCAACTCCCAGACACTTGTGAGATTTCTAGCGTGGAGGAGGCCAAGGTGTGAGCACAAAGATGACCCTTTCCTTCAGCAGTCCCACCAGACACAGTATCTAGGGAGGCAGCCTGGACAGTGACTACACCCTGCACCATCCACCACTGTAGCAACTGTGGCTTCAGTGTAGCTGGTGGTCTGCTTTCCCAGCATAGGAAATGTTACTCCTTTTCTGAAATACAGATGTTCTCACTGTTCTGCAGAAGTGCTCCTGTTTCATGACTGTTACATAGCATGTGCACACAAGAATAGCAGAGAAGCTGCCATAACCCTTTACATACTAAATGCCCTAATTTTCCCATCCTACCCTTTACATACTAAATGCCCTAATTTTCCCATCCTATTTAAGTCTTCGTTGGTGCATTTGCCATTTCATTCTTGCTTGCCCTCCCAAATCACACAGGGGCAGAAATCAGGATGATTCTTTTCCCTATTAAAGAAGAAAGTTAAACAGTTTTCATGCCTTTTGAAACTCACAGAACACTCAAAAAGACTATTAGCACAATAGCTGGAGAAAAAAATTAGCTCAAATCTGAACTTCCCAGAATATCACAAAGACTGTATTTGGTAGGGGCTCAAAGAGAGGGCATGTCTTTTCTGGCTTGATGAAGGGATGACATTCCTGTTTAGAACAGTTCTGTTAATGCTACTGGCATTTTATTGCTACTAGCTGTTGGTACACAGGATAGGTAGCTTTTAAAATAATCCTTCAGTTCCAGGGATCTTGCTCATCTTACACCAGGAAGGAAGGAAGGTTCATATTCTTTCATACACAGATGCAGCTCTGTGAAGTCAGGGAGAACTTTAAATGCTTGTATTAAGCTTTGTAAAGGTTGAAGATGGCATGGCATAAATTAAATAAGCTGGATCCATTTTCTACACTTGCACTTTATACATTGTTCCTGATCTGCTTAAATGCAAGTTAGCTGTGGAGTTACTCATATTTTATACCAGGGTGAGCAAGGTCTCCTTGAAATCATAGAAATCAATGATCCAGGAGAAAATAGGCCTAATGCTTTTCCTACTCCACCCCTTTCTGCAAGGCAAGTTCAGGAGTGCCAGGCATTTATTTCTGCACAGATCTAATCCTGAGTTGGCCATGGGAGCTGTCACTTACCTCAGACTGCATTTGATAGGGCTCGAACAGTTCCCAGTTTTGGAAAATTTCCACTCCATCTACTTGGCCCTGTACCTGCCTTAGGTTTCTATATCAAGGAGTTTAGCTAGTTCCACTTCAAAATCTCTGTTTATTTTTATCTTTTTAATAATGAGCCACAAATAGTGCTGAGTACTGACACCTCCCAAATTGTGCTCTTGGGCATCTGTCAAATGTGTTGCACAAAGAAGATAATAGTTCATATTTGCTTAACTCCTTCAGTGCTCAGGGCAAACGTCTTGCATTTAGAGTGGCAAAAGGTGGGTGACAGCAAACCTGCAAGAAAGCAATATGTAAAAAAGAAGTAACAGTAACTTGTGTGATGGTGTTTGATGCCATGATCTGATGTGGACAGATCTTCCTTATGTATCCAAGCTCAAACCCAGCATTGTCATGTGGCCTTCCAGTACCTGAGGGGAGCCCTAAAGGAAGAGGAAGAGGTACTTTTTACAAGGTGATAGGTAGTGATAGGACAAGGGGGAATGGCTTCGAACTGAAAGAGGGTCAGTTTAGATTAGGTATTGGGAAGAAATCCTTTACTGCGAGGATGTTGAGACAGTGGCACAGGTTGCCCAGAGAAGCTGTGGATGCCCATCCCTGGAAGTATTCAAGGCCAGGCTGGAAAAAGCAACCTGGTCTAGGTAGAAGGTGTCCCTACCCATAGACAGGGGTTAGAACCAGATGATTTTAAGGTCTGTTCTCACCCAAACAGTTCTGTGATCCCATTATTTACTCTCTTGCTTTGTTTCCCACTTTTAGAATGGGAACGGGTCACATCACTTTACCTGACTGAGGGCAAAGGAAGAAAGGGTAAATTCAATAAGGAGTACAATGTCTGTTGGGGGCACACAAACAGTGTTGTAAGAGAACTTCTGGCAAAGATACCACATCTCTCCAGACTGCTTTCTTACAAAACAACTGAGTTCGAGAAAATAAGATACCTCCTGGCTCTCCTGAGGACACAAACAACTGAGAATCATAGAATGGTTTGGGTTGGAGGGGACCTTAAAAACCACCTAGTACCAACCCCGCTGCCATGGGCAGGGACACCTTCCATTAGACCATGTTGCTCAAGCCCCATCCAACATTATCTAGCTTGTCCCTAGATTTCTCAGTGCCAAGACCTGGAATGACAGCGGTGTGCTTTTCCCCCCCTAGATTAGCAAGACCTACTGGGATAGGAGACTGGAAGTGAGAGGAAGAATGACAAATTAGTAAGTATAATTATTCCTTTTGTTCTTGAAGATGCTCAGAAGAAATCTTTATGTAATAAATTGAATTTATCAATGGCTGGAGGAATCCCTGACTTATGCTTGGGGCTTTGAGGAATGAAACTAGGACTGGATGATTTATTAAAAAAAGAAAAGGGGGAGAGAACCCAAACAAAATGGACTGTGCAATGTACCAGCAGCATCTCACCCAGGAGTGCAGTGCTGAACATGACATCACACTGAAAACAGCTGATTTTAAATGAATTCTGGTTCAGCGTGAGCTTGTTCTCATTGAAAGTCTATCCCATGCTGGGCCAAAACTACAGCTGTGCTGGGGTGTGGGGCGCCTGCTGTTTTTTTTTCCTGCCACGAAGGATATTCCAGGGCCTTCAGCCTCTCTGAAAAACAAGGGGCACGCGGCAGAGTACTTTAAAATGGCAAGTACTTCTCCACATAGACCTACTGCCCTCCCGTGGCTGCCAAGGAACATCTCTAAAGCAGAAACGGAGATCAGGGACTGAGAGAAACAATAAAGGAAAATAACTATATATTCAGTTTAAACCAAAACCCAGTTTGAGTTACAAGGAAGAGGAAAGCAAACAGAGTGGGATTAACTGGAAGTAACTATGAAGGGAAGAACAAAGAGCCTGAAGTCAGGTTTTATGAATGAGACCATGAGTATCAAGTGAAAACTGTGTGCTTCTGCAAGGACTATCCTGTTTCTGTTATTTTCATTATGACTGTGATGCTTCTTGTGCATCCTCTAAGGACAGGGCTCATCTCCAGTCTTTGACACACAGCAGACACTTAAACAAAACCCCAGACCTCCCACCAAAAGTTTCACTGGGGGGTTGCATTAGGCAGGCTCACATTATTGTTCATGGACTTGGCTTCAGTCTTAGATCTTAAAGACTGATGTATGCCCAAGCTGCATTTGAGACTAGATGCAATGAAACATTCCTTTCAGACTGGAGAGGAGGGGTGAGTGTGACTGGGATCACACAGGAAAATGCCAGCACATGGCACCTCCTATAGGACTGCAGACGTTGAGTGACACCAGCATCGAGAAAGGTGTCACCTCAGCGTACCTGGCAACTGTGCTATTTCAGGGATGCACATCAGGGGGAACAGTAGGATTTCTTCAGAGCATGCAGCAAGGTGGCACTGGTGAATGAACACATTAGGCAGACAAATGCTTTGCTGATTCAAGTTGCCAGGTCACTGTGTCAGTATCTCATGCAGCAGCCAGCTATGAGTAGGGTAAACCCTGCCCTCTGCATTTCACACCTTAGGCCATGCTGCACAATGTTAACATCACAAACAAAACTTCACTTTATGCACAGGTGAAAACGTCCAAAGAGATGAGAAATCACTCCACATAATTTTAAAATGTGTGTGTCTGTGTGTATATGCACACACAAACACAAATATATATTTGTAGTAAATACATATAATTGTACACAATTATAATCACTCCAGTATATCCATGATATACTCCTATCACTCACCAGGACAATACATTCTGTTGCACTGTCAGAATCTCTTGCTCAGTTACCTTTTAAATTACAGTTCTTATAAGTTCTGCAGAATTGGTCAGTAGAAGGCCAGTCTTTGGCAAGCAGGTATCTGCAGAAAACCAGTGGTGATCCTTCAATATGTGAAGGTTCCCCTCCCAGTTTCTTCAAGTATCAACTCTGCTTTCATAGAAATAGTTTCTAACAATATGCTACAACCCTGATAAGCCAAGCAGGATTTTTCTTTCAGTCTATACAAATAACACACATCCTCTCTACACCATGCAATGCAAAAAGTAAAATCATGTTTCCCAGTGATTCTAGTCTGATTTGGCCCCATAACTGTTTTCATTGAAAAAACACAAACAAACATAGAAAAAGCAACTCTCACATAAACCTTAAAAATCAGCAAACAAAGCTCTACTGATTTACATTTCCAAAGGAAATACCTTTTAGTAACAGTTAACTCTGTCTGCAGTTGTTAAGTCCAAACATTGCAAATGTGAGAAATGAGGACAGAAAACTAACAAAGAACAAGAGTTACTGACTTGTCCAGACTGAGACTGACACACACACGCACAAACACACCCCTTGCAAAAACCCTTATGCACTTTTTAAAAATTAGTCTGAATCACCTCTGTGATATCCTTGTTAAATATCAAAGCAGATGAGCTTGAACATGTCTACTGGAAAAAGCGCTACATAAAAAATGTGTAATTCAAAGCCTTACTTAAAAAGTACTTCCAGAAATTAAATTCCATGTCTCTCAATGACGTTGCATTATTCATGAAATCTTGCATAATGTTACATTTACTGACACTGATCAGCTGTCAAAGAAAACTGAGTTTGTTTGAGTAACAGTCACAAGTAAAAAGAAAAGAAAAAATCACAGAACTTTGGCAACTATTCAAAAACTGACTCAAAGAGCAGAAATAAAATTATTTTCAACAGTGGACAAAACATAAAGGTTAAGTCTGTCCTATGTATTTTTTACTGACATCAAGCATTGTGATTTTCTTAATGAACTCACTTGAGGGTGGATAACTATTCCTAAAAGTAATGTAACAACAGATTGAAGTTTGCACCCCAATACTTTGATACAAACTATGACTGGATATTTCCAAAAGAGTCCCTTTGACACTAAATAGCTATTTAAAAAATTGTAATTAAACAAATAATCTTTAAACAGTACAAAAACCTAGGTAAACCAAGTCTCAGTCAGTGTAAGAGAGGACCTCTTAATAAAGGGAAGTTAAATCCTCCTTTGGAGTAGTTACAACAATGCACAGAAATGAGACCAGAAACACACATAGTAAGTTACAGGTCTGATTTACTGGAGTTGTTCAGTCATTTCCACCTTAGGGTCATTTCAGGATTGTAGTATGGACCCAGAAAAATACTTCCTAAAAAACAAAACACTGGGAGGAGAGAGCAGTATCTGTTTCCGCACGCTGAGGATCTGATGCACTGGAAGGGGCAGTCCTGCCTTCAGCTGCTTGCTGCAGTGGTGGGTGTGTCAGAGGCAGGAGCCTGATGTTCAGACATCCCACCTCTGACATCCTGTCTTGATCCCTCTTGGCTCACTGTGTCTAACTAAGGTCAGAATAAATGGGCCTTTGGGGCAATTCCAACAGATGCTGTGTGCACAGCAGCCAACACGGGAAGTTCAACCTCACTTGTCTAATGGCTCACACGTTGCTCTGTGCACACTGCCAGCTGTGCTTTTCCAATCACTTGCACCTCGTGTTTGTACAACACTCAAACGTGTGAAAACTTTTGAAATTCTACAGTATGGTTAAAGATGACTGCAGATCCAGGGCTAAAACACCTTACTTAGCTCCTGGAAGATCAGACCGCTCACCTCTCCAGTGTTCCACGCTACATACAGGTTTCTGTGCTCATAACAGCCACTGTGCACATCAAATAAAATAAAAGTAACACTCTGATATGAGCAAGGAGCCAGGCTTTTCAATAAGAGTCCTGTGGAAAATCTCAGTTCAACATGTAACTATTAGATTTTTAGTACACAGCATATCACGGAATTAGTGTTTTCCTTACAAATATATGGCACTAAGTGTAAAAACTTTATGACCTATTCCAAACATTGTACCATACTTCACAACAAAGCTTGAAAAAGAATCCTCTAACTCCCACTTCTTCTAAATATACAGCTGGTGGGAGGCCAGGGTGTCCATGAAAGGTCGCACAAGGTTGTCTGTTGAGAAGTAGAAGATCAAGCCAAAGGTGATGGAGATGGGAAGAGCAGGCAGTGCTTTCTTAAAAACAGCCAGTAGTAAAAGTGTTAGGCATAAACCCTGTCAGAGAGAAAAGAATAAAAAACACTAGAAGATAATAGTAAGACAACCAGAAATAGATCTATCACTAACAAACCAACATACAGATAATTATCTATATGCCCTGTAGAGCACTGAAGCCAGCCTGAGCTATTAGCAGATGTGTATTTGCCCACAGCTCCATTTCTCACACAAGTTGGCCACGTTTTTCCTCAGCAGTCTTGAGCACAGCTGTCTGCTGAAAAAGTGGTATAAACGGCAAATGCAGAGGTACAGCTGACCCCAAGAGGTAAACGTCTTTACACAATATTTTACTCCTTTTTCTGTGCCATTATGAATGAAGTACTGATCCAGCAGACAAAAGCTTAATCACTTAAATCCTGGTGAACTGCACAGATAGGAGTTGCACTGAAGGTCTCTAATACACAGCAGGATGTACTTATAATACATTCTCAGTTTACAAGGTCCCTTAAGGTAAAAAAAGAAAGAAAAATTAAAAAAAAAAAACAGTTTACAAGGTCCCTTAAGGTAAAAAAAGAAAGAAAAATTAAAAAAAAAAAAAAAAGAGAAAAAAAACCAAAACCCAAATCAAATATCCACTGCTGCTCTTTTGGCTGGATTGCTTATTACAATGTGTGAGTTCTGGTTTTATCTGGCTAGCAGGCAAAGATCTGGTTTTTTGCAGCATGGGAGGAAGGTGTTGTATGTTCTGGGTAGATACTATGGTTAAGTGCTTTTAGATATTAATTTCTTCTCTCATCAGAGCCCTTTTTAATTCCTCCATGATGACAAAACTTCAAAGACATTGGGCTCCAAAAATATCCACTAGCTAAAGATTAGCAGACAGGATTTTTAATTGTTTTTTTTTAATCAGTGTTTCTAGATTGCAAACTTGTTCACAATCCACCTGAGCCTGTAGTTCTGTTCTTATTCTCTCAGGGACCATATCTGGCCTACACCTCCTCTTTAAATCTCATATCCTTTTCAAGATGTGCTTACTGCTGGGAAATTGGAGGGACATTTTTGGGAACCAGAAAGCCACACAGCAGCAAGATTACTAAACTGCAAAAGGAGACAGAACAAGTTTTAACAGTATCATAAAAGACACATAATGGGGCATTCAGCCTCAAAGATAGATGTGCAAGAACATTTCCCCCAGCAAAGGGACCCTGTGGTGGACTGCAGCATATGGAGCTAGATGATCCTCTGGGTTTCTCTGACCTCTGGGGTTGGAGAGCTACACTGAACAGACTCCAGTGAAGGCAGCTCATTTCTAGCTTGCATGCTTTTTTTGTTAGAACCCTGAAGCCTGGGAGTTATAAACTTTCAGTGTTTTCTGACACTGAGCCTCAGAAGAGCACTGCTTTTGACCTGAGGCCTTGGAGAAGGCTTCCAAATTTGAGTGATAGAGTTAGAATCACTGGTGTGTAGACAGAACAGAAGTGTGTAATTTCACATGGTGAAGGGTTTTGAATTTGGAGTTTTAGAATATAGTAATAGGTATGGGACAAGATGGAGGTTCTTGGGTGTTTTTTCTTTCTCCCTTCTTGTTCCCATTTCTTCATGATTTCAGGTAGTAGTTTTTGGATTGGATAGTCAGTACTGCAGTGCGGGTCACAGGTGTTTGGTTATTGGAAGTATAAATAATACAGATGTTAGCTATTAATTGGATAGTTAGCCTTTAAAAGACCTTGTAACTAGCTAGATTCAACTCCATTTTCTCTCTTTTGGCTTGATAGCTAGAAGTGCTGCAGAACTCTCTGTACTTTAGATATAAAGAGCCAAGTCTGAACAAGAAATCCGTCTCTTGAGCATTCAATCCTGACTCTGAGTGAAGGCAGAAGAAAAAGCTAACCATTATCAAGACTTTTTTGATGCACAGTCTTCACAAGTGACAGTCACTTGCACTGGCCTTGGGATCTAAGTAGGAAAACAGAGGCCCAGGAAGGACACAGTAATAGATTTTCTTTTATATTCTAAAAATCCTGCTGTTGTCTTTCTGGTTAATTTCCATGAAGATGTTGAGGTAAACAGCAAATGCATAGTAATTCTTTTCCACTCAGGTGGAAGCTTAACCGTGTGTTTTCATTAGACCTGGCAGGACCAACTCTTTAGCAGCTACAGTATGTTAGTCATCTGTCCTTACTGATAATTTCCATGGATCTAAGTCTCCTTCCTTCTCATATTTTCCAGTTCAAATAGTAGAATAAGATAGGTCTTCACCCTCTTACCTATCAGCTCCCCTTAGCATAATGGAGTTAACCTTTTTAACTACACTTGCTAATCACTGAGGAGTTCCTAATATTGACTCTTGTGGTTGAAGCAAACACTCCAGCAGTTCCTGGGGCTGTTTCACCCCCACCATATCCACACTTGGCTCTGCTCTGATTAGTCTGGATCGTTCTGCTGCAGTGGCTGTTTAAAGCCTAGAGACAGAGTATTCCTAAATACCTAGCAGGTTACCTGGGCTGATTTAGCAGTGCTCAGCTGCTGGTACTTCTGACAACACTTCTGTGCTGAACAGGGTGTGACAGAGCTTTTAAAAGCTGCTCACTTACTATGAGAATGGCTACAAAGCAGGCCAGTGTGGTATTCCAGTCTCCACTAGCTGTGGCAGCTGCTTTCCCAACAAGCACACTGTAAAATATGAAGTCTCCAAGGCCCAGCTTCACACCCCCTGAAAGAAGTGGAAAAAGAAAACAAGTGTTAATTCTGAGCCTCCTGTTTTGCTTCCTCCTGAACAAATTCTTGTCCTCTGGGTAGCAGGTGAAGGTTCCTAGTACTGCCCACGAACCTGGACCCACACATTCCTGAGCAGGCTGATTGTTTTTGTCCTCCCTCATTCAGCTTCCCTGGGCTGCTTTACAAATAAACAGCTGAGGAAGCACAAGGACAGAGAGGGACAGAAGTCAAGGGGAAGAAAAACTGTTTAAACTGTACACATAGCCAACAGATGTCACTGGAACCACAATCTCGAACCAGATTCTGCAGCAGCAAGAGGTAACACACAGTCAGACTCAAGATCTTCATTGCTCACCGAGCACAGCCATTCAAATTAACTGTGATTAGACCAAACAAGGTAACAGAGTGTTAGCCACAAAGAGTAAAAATGTCAGGCTCTGACTACACTGAAAACAAGGTATAAAGCTTCCCTTACTTTCCTCCTCCTCGAGCTCCTCTAACGAAGTGATGGGGTGGGTTGGAACAGGACTCCTCGTCTCTGACATCTGAGACTCTGCATGTGAAGGGCTCCTGAGGTGTTCTCTCCCATCCTCAGCTTGGTTCCACAAAAACAGGCCAAGAGTGGATTACAAAAAAAAAAAAAAAAAAAAAAAAAAAAAAAGAAACACAAGAGACAGCTACGTTTACAACATGTTTTTAGCCCATGAAATCCACACTGCTGTGAAGCTGCCCTGCAGTGGGTAAGCCCTTTGTCTCTTGGAGGTGTGGCCATCAGGACCAGTTGAAGCAGTGACATTTAGCAGCTTTGAGGGAAACGTGTGTGTTATTATTTGGAACAGTTGGAAAGGTGCACGTTCACAGCTTCTCTGGCAGCCACCCAGGCACACAATGGTTTTAACAAGCGAGCACGTACACACTGAGACCTAACATTGCTCTGCACAGCCCACAATGACAAGGAAAACCCACTAAAGTTAATAGGCATTCCCACAGTGTTATACCTTTGTTTATACCTTTGGAGTGGAGGTGCTCAGGTATTCCCTAACCAGTCATATAACAAAAATGGATGACTAAGAGGACTGCCATTTATGAGAGAAGTCCTGAGTCACAGTGACATTGGAGCTGACTGTTCACATGTAGAGAGCAGACACATTTCATTGTCCACAAATTTAACTTTCCCCCCCCAGCGTTAAAGCACATCTGACAGAGCCTTTGGCAGCACTTTCAGAAGCAGCCAGTCTGTGATACATGACTCTATCTGACAGTTCCTATTTTTCAGAAGCTCCTACGAACTCTTCAGTCCATGTCAGTTTGACAGGTTGCTGCTGCTCCAGGTGCAAGCAGACTGATCTGGGACAGTACAGATCTGATTCTGTACCCCTCAGCATGGAGTCTGTTACTGCTCTCTGCCCCGTTTCACAGCAGGATTGCATCCCTGCCACTCCTCAGTATGTCAGCTGCTTCACCCTGAAATAAGCAGCACGTTCAGTTATCAAACCTTTGCACACATTTATTGCTTTAACATTCAAAGGTACTGTCATCTCTGAAGTGCAACAGGACTAGATGGGAAATCCTCCCAAAACCACAAGTGTGATTTTATTCAATCACCTTAAAAGTGCAGTTCAATTTGCATCTCAAGAAAATAAAAGCAAAGGCACCCAAATTACTGCAAAACCAGCTACAATGTAAACTTGAATCAAAAAAGCTACTGGTGGGTAACTGTCTTAACACAAGGCTTTACCCAAGAGTAAAGACATTTATATTCTTTAGCAGGGTGAGCCATGTTGCACTTGCAGAGAGGTGCTCCATGGCACTGGTCTGAATGCAACGCTGAAGTTCACCAGCTCATCACTATTATATTTAGGAGCCTCTGTTGTAATTTACCATCCCCAGTATGGAAAAATAACCCCCCACTAGCCCATTTTCAGCTTTGACTTCAGTACACCAAAGATGTGAGTTGAACAACACTTGTATTTGATTTGTTGTTTGTTTGGTTTTTTTTTAAATAAAAGTGGCCTGAGTACTGGAGCTTCCTACACTGTCTGTTCATTTTTGCTGCCAGTTCTAGCAGCAGGTTTATGAACATCAGAGTTCTGCAAGTAACAACACTGAAAAAAAAATCATCCATCAGGATTTGGGGGCTTATATTTATGTTCAGTCTCAAATGTATTTATTATTTCTGCAGGACAGTGCTCTGCATGGGAGAGGGACATGCAAACAAACCTGCATTCCATGTCTGCTGATTTGGTCCTCTTGCTGCTGTGTCCGGCTTTGCCATTCCAACTGTCCACATCATAGCAGCTGGAAGAAAGTAATCGGCTGCATAAAACACTGGCCACTATAGCTCAGAGGAAATAAGTATTCAGTTGTCCCTAAAAATACCAACCCTTGCCCCTGTAAGTGCTTCTAAAACAGTTGGTTTCCCTAGGCACTGAGACAGCAAGGTGGGAGAAAGCCAAGGAAATTCAGGTTTTAAGAAAGTCCCAGAGCACAAGTAGCTAAGAGCCAATATAATTTTCTCTGTGGATTAAAGAAAGCAAAATTCCAGAACTAGGGTCCTCAACTTTTTTGTTTTCTTCCTGATTTCTGGCTTTGCTTTTCAAAGAAAACGATTTCCCAGGGAATGGCAGTAATACAAAAGGTAACCAGAGGTTAACTAACACAGCTTATTCATGTTCTGCTAAAGGTACAGCACACAAGTGAGAGATTGCAGGAGCTGTCAGAATCCAAGTTTTCTCTCTGCCTGTTGTGGTTCCTTCCTGTCAAAATATTGCATATTTCTGTTTTGGTTCCAATAGCAACTGATGTTTGGGGATCTTGGGGTCCCTAAATTAAAAAGGAATACAAACCATTCCAAAATCAGTGGAAGGGAACTCAGATTGGCTTTTTATTTAAGTGTGCAACAGTCTCCCTGACTTTATAGAAGCTAAGCTAAACAACATAAGCCAAAGCAAACACAGTGTTCAGGCAAGGTGATGTTTTTTGCATCTAGAGGGAGCCACCGAATGTAGTCTTGCAATGGAGACACTGACATTCTGCACAAGAACTTTTTGCTCAGTGTTTATTATTTGCTGAACTGCATTCTCCTTTAGGGAAACTTGATTTTTAACTAAAGCATCTGAGAGACTTCATCTAGATTGTCTTAGGTGAGTGTAACAGAATCTCCTTTGAAAGGGAAGGTAGCTGAGGTGAACTGAGACTCTGCTTGGAACACATAAAATCATTTATGTAACATTAAAGGCTTGAATTAAAAAAAATCAGGTTGTAGGCAACCTCAGCTTAGCACCAAACATTTGGGAATAGCCCTTCATTTTCCAAGTGATGTAATTAAAAAGTTGCTGAGGTCCATGAAGCACTTGAGTTCAGGTCCCATGAGTGTTGTCTCCTGCCTTCCAACAATCTCATCTTAAGCACGTGGATACCTTGAGATAGGGACACCAGACACCGTGGTAGTTAAACAGCCCAAGAAAGCCAGGGAAGAGATGACTGATTCTGTTTGCAGAGCAGTACTTGAAAGGAGCCCTTTGCAAAGTGAAGAGCCAAACAATGAACAGTAAAGCAATTATATTCTAAGCATGGCCATCTGTACAGTACAGAGGGCAAGAGGAGGCTGCAGGCATCATGGAGCCTCATCACATGTTTAAAGTGTGTCTGTAAAGCATACACACAATGAATAAATGCATTGAGTGAGCATCACCTCATCACAGAACTTGGCAAACACTGCTGCCCACCTCTCACAGGGTTTTGTGTGCAGAAAAAAAGGATGCATATTCTGCACTACATTCGTGAAAGGATAAATCTGGTTGTGAACATTCAGCTTCACAAGGTAAATGTGGGCTCCCTTTGGCTAATTAGTTAGCAACATTGTAACACATAAATAAGGCCTTCTACAAATGGTCTGTTCCAGAACACAATTATGCACCATTCTTAAGGCAAGAAAGTAGCTAAGATAATGCTCTTTGATACAGGAATAGTTTAATAGAGTTTCATCTGGCTAAAAACATTAACATTGTAATCTTACTCACATGAATATATTAATGCAGGGAAAATGGGCTCATTTCTCTCCTGTGCAGTTTCTACCAGCATTCTCAGTGGCCCCTTGGGACAGAGAACAGCCATCAGATCTGCAGAAAGAAAAGGACCAATCTCATCCTGAACTGTCATGCATATTTTACATTCTTTATCTATATATCTATTCCCCTCAAATTCACATCTATCCATATAAACCAGATGATTTCCTGAATGGCACTTTCCACCACTTTCCATAACTCTAGCTGTTCTAGTCCCTGAAAGTGTTGTTCACTTAAAATACCATCTCCAAGCCTTAATGTAATAATAAGAGTTTTCACTGTGCTAATCCTATAAAAAGCCCCTTGAGAATACCACATGAGTTCTTTGAAAGCAGATGGCAGCATTTCACTGAGATGTTAAATTTAATTAGAGGAGGAGTGAGGGTGCTTTGTTCACATTCCACAATCCATCACTACACTGGCTCTGTGTGTAAATGAATGCCTTTAGTCCAGTACTTTTTTGCCTACCCTCTCTCCTCCATCAGATATCCTCCCTCTTGTTTTGCAGGTTCTCTTGAAACTTATAACTCATACCAAAATCCATGATCTCTTGATAACAATAAACAAAACCTGCAAGACTGTCATGTCTGCTACTGATAAAAATCCAACCACCCCTACCATGCAGCTAGGTGAGGTTCAGTCCTTCCCTGACTTGGTGATCCACTTTGAAAGACCTGATTGAGGTACACTACCTCCATGAACAATTAGCAACAGACAAGGCAGGGAGTCAAATTAATTGCCCATCTGGCACTTTCTAAAGCTTTTAGCACCATAAAGTTGTTTTGGTTTTTTTTTGGAGGACATACAGAGCCCTGAGATTGCCTCAGAGTAACCTCTCCAGGAGCCACACCTTGAGAGTCACAACCCAGACTTACCATAGATGGAGATTGCACCTAGAATCACCCATGCTGACCACTCAGGTAGATATTTAATGAACACCAATGCCATTAGAGCACTGATCATAATGAGATAAGCTTGCTGGAGCTGCAAGGGACCTTTCCAGTGGATGCAAATCATTCCAACAGCTCCAAAATTCCAGATGACTATGAACAGAGTGGGATAATCCATGGCCACGTTGTACGTCTTCAATACTTCACTGGAATACCACAAGAAAATTTAGCTAAGCAGTGAAAGCAGGTAACATGCAAAGCATCCCACTAGCTGTAGTTAAACAAAAAAGCCCCAAATACAGGAGGAAGCAGAATAGAGCAACTCTCATCATGAAAGGGGAACCTGCCCTTTGGCTACTTGCTACTTTGAGCTCTGTTCCTCCTGCATGAGATGGATGTGCTGTGTTATAGACCTGCACCACACTGCCTTAGTCTTCAGTTCAACAGCAATTCCAAGGATTTGAGCAGGCAGGATTTCATGTCTTAAATGAGAATAGGCCCATGGCTCCATGACTGTTAAAAAATCCTGTCAGTGTCATCTCACCAGGTGCAATATGCTCACAGTTAAAAATGAAAATGTTTTAACAAATGTCACCCACAAGTAAAAGTTTCCTTTCACCTGAGCTGAGAGCTAAGGGAATGAGCTTGAAACAATGTTGTCTAAGAAAAAAGACAAATCAGAGAAGTAACTCGGCACATAAAGTGCCTTTCCACATGCTTCTCAATGTAGAATCCAGAGCCTCTGTACCACAAGATTCAGCCTGTTCATTTCATGCTCATGGTATCACTTCCCAGCAATTTTTGTAAAATTGAGCATTGACTATTAAAGATCTTATTTTCCACTTTTTAAAAAAGAAAGCTATCTTCTAACAACACTTAAATGTGCATGTAGAGAAGAGGACACATTCATTTTCCTGTTCAAAGTGGGAATTCTCAGCAAAGAGGTGAAGGAACCCTGAACTGCCAGGTTACCTGCACCATTCCTACTTACCCGAGGTATATGTAGGTAAAGAGGAAGAGCAGCATCAAAGAGGATAGGATCAGCCAGCCATGGATGAACTATTAAGGGCAAGAAGAAACAATGATTGTAGGGACTGTTACCCCTGCAGGGGCCACAGAACTGCAGCCCAATAATCTCCTTCTGCACTCCTCTTCCAGTGTCCAAAGACCCTGCCTTCCCTATGGTCACTGAAGGAGGGGGGACAGCCAGTTCCTCCCAGTTCTTCCACTTTCATTTTGTGTTCTGTCTCTTAGGGTTTTACTTGGTTTGGGTTTTTTTCAGTCTCTGGCCTAAGCTTTTTCATGGGTATCCATACTGGCTGCTAGCTCATACAGGTGAGCACATTTTTTCTGTTTGCTAGGATGGAGGAGCGGTTTGCCCAAGGCTGTAAAATAAACTCAGTCTTTGGGACAAGTTTAAAAAGCATGAATAAACAGAGCTCAAATGCTGGGCTGGTACCACATATAAGAACTCCCTGAGCACTGTAGAACCAGAACGTGCCTTTCCCTCCAAGCCTTGTGCTCTTCTACCAGAGCTTCCACAGGCAGGAATAATACCAGTTCTCACAAAGCTTGTCTGAAATGTCTTAATAGAAGACATTCACAGTAAATGGTACAACTTAGTCCGTAAGTACAAATGGCAAAACATTTGGATTGGATGCAGAAAACTCAAGACCTGACCAACACAAAGTAGGAGCCCTTTTTTTTTAGGGCCTGCCTTTAGTGACAAAAAAATAGCAAAGCCTATTCAGAGCCACAGCTCCATCACTACTGACAGACTTCTGCACAGTTCCTGCTGTGCCCAAGATGAGGATGAGCCAGTGCAGTTTCTCACGGCTTTGCAAGGCCCATTTGATCCCAGGCTCACAGCACGGATGTGGAAAAGGCTCTGGCACGAATGCTTTACCTTGTAGCAGCGATATTTATAGAGCAGCACTAGGAACACGGTCATGACAATGATGACACTGATCATTACGATGGTGTTCAACACCGAGTTCAAGAGACGCTGGCCCACAGATGGGGTGTCCTCACTGAAAGGGGTGTAGATCCTGCAGGATAAAGCAAAAGGCATATAAAGTATAGCTATTCTCTTCTAACCATCTGTCCCACGTAAAACCAAACCTCTCTGAGTGTGGGAAAGAAAGGGAGGTAGGACTGCCAAGGACAGCAAACATGAGATGTAGACTCTGAAGGGGCTGGGCTCAAGTTAATTATCAACTAAAGATTAGTGGTCTCTATCAAAAGCACATTCTTACAGAGCAGCTGTGGCTGGCAGAGCTCTAAGCAAAAAGATCTAGAGTATAAGTGACTTTATTTTAGGAAGTGCTCTGCAGGTCATGAATTTTTATTGCATGCTCTGGAATGTCTCCATGATAATTACAAGGATACTTCCCAGGTGCTGTTCTGAAATGGGGGACACCCTTTCTTTCCACAGTTGGTAGAAGAGTCTTGACTCTTTTATCCCTTCTCACCACCCTCTTCCCCCATTTTGTTTCCTTTGATTCAGTTCAAGGGACCACAGTCCCCCTTTCTCCACCCCATCTGTGAAGCACAGTCAGAGCCCCAGGAGACAGGCCCCAGGAGCCAGGCACTGTCAGCAGGAGCTGGATGGAATTATGTATCCACATCTCGCACATGAGTCTTTAGGAACCAGAAATATCACCAGGAAATGAGACACTCATCCAAATGAACATGCTATTCCCTGATTGCTGCCAGCTAGTGAGTGAACAGCCTAGGAGTTCAGCCTGGGCCTTTTATGCTGCAGAATGAAGCAGCTTCATTATTATGCTGCTCACAGGTCTCACTCAGGGCACCCTAAACGACAGCACTAACGGATCAGTGTAATGCAGGTATGGGAAGAACTTACACAGGTGAACACAGCATACTTCAGTAAGCGTTCTGCATGTTTCTACAGCCACCTTTACCTGTGTAAAGGTTCTCCCAGCCTGCCAAGGAAGCACTGTGCATGCACAGAGTGTGTGTGTGGAGCAGGGGGTCCCACATACTCATGCTGTTTGCAGACCCCACTTACAGCTGCCCGTTTTTCTCCGTATAGAAGCGCACTGACTTTATGGTGGCGACGACAACAATCATACAAAGGGTGACAGGCACAAAGAGCATGATTACATGCTTTGCTCCATATTTCAGAGTCAGTTCCTCCTCTTCATTTTCCAGGGCGCTTTCTCTCACTGGAACACCCGAGCCAGACATTTCTCCACCAGCAATATGGTTCGGGCCTCGGCTGCTGCCTCCTCGCCTCTTCTGAAAAGAAACATTAGCAAATGTGTAAGATGCTTCTTTTTTTTGTATTCAAAGCTTGAGTCCATCATATATCACAAGGCTACTGTAGGTCACCACAGCATAGCAGCTGAGTCCTAATAGAAAGGTACTTACTGAACAATACTTTTGGAAATTCCATTAAATTCTATTGCAAACAGGTTCCAACAGAGTTTTTAAATCAATCCCGTGAGTATCTAAGGACCTCTTCAAATGCAAATAAAGAGGCACAAATATGAATATGAAGGGCAAGATGCCCAGAACGAGATAGGAAAAAAATGTCATCTGAGGTGATAAAAGCTTGACATGTTCCTCCTCTCCCAACAACGCTGTGCTTGCTTTATCCTGCTGCTTTGCTGGCAGCTGGACTAGATTCTGTTCTAACATTAGCTTCGTCTGACAAAAGGTATCTGGCAAAACAAGAAGGCTAAAAAGGATATCCTGCAACAGTCATATGTGCATCAGGTCCTGATTAAAAGCCTGTATCTTTACCAAAAGGAAGGAAAAGGGAGGAGTATATATGGAGATAAAAATGGGGGGAAAGTCAGTGTGGAGGAAATGGCAACAGGCAATGCTGCTGCTGGGCTGAGAGTGACACCAGAGAAACAACAATGACAAAAGCCAATCCTAGAATCCAGTCTGGTCGGAAGGATTGAGGGCTACCAGGACTACTTCTGTCCTACACCCCATGTCCTCTCTTCCCATGAGGGACACACACCTACCCTGTGTGCCTGTGCTTCCCCTGCTGCTGAGGCTTGCAGGCCATCCTGGTAGGAAGGTACTGGAGGGCTCTCTGCAGACATCAGGGATGTTCTCTCATTGCAGGGCTCCTCCTCGCTGTCCGAATTGTTCATGAACGTGATCATTGCCACTCTCCAAGGCAGCACTCAGGAGGGCACAGCCAAGCACTACTCAAGGCTGTGGGGACAAGCAGAGCAGACGGGAAGAAAACAGTGAACACCACACTGCAAATAACTCAAAGTCTGAAGAGGATTCGGCAGACTTCAGCAGGGAGGCTCCAGCACATCATGTAGCTCCATCTTCTCCCAACAGCAGGTTTATCCTGCCCTCGCCCAGGCACGACAATCCGTTCAGCTGAAGTCGCTGGGACTGCCGCAGGCACGGATATCAGCAAAACGCAGCACTAAAGAAACTTACTTTTTCTTTACCACAGCTTTCACACTTGCTGCTTCTATTTCCCGTCTCCCATCAGTACACCTTACCTTCCACAAAGGAGGTTTCTCAGCACTCAGTGTTCGTTTGGCAGGGGCCAGACACAGCTTCACCTCACACACTGGCTGCCTGTCAGGAAGCTCAGAGAGCTCAGCTCTTACACAACACTCCCGCAAGCATCAGCAAGGAGCAGAAGTTTCTTAGTAACCTGGAGCCTTAGCTTTACATAAGCCACTAATCAGGAGCTACATGCTGTCTTATGACTGTTTATTAACAAGATGAATTTTATTAGCAGTGCTTCTCTTTGCCGATGAAGAGGTTTGCATAGCAAGGGAAAGACCTGTCTCCTTAGGAGAGCCACTTGTGGGTTTTTCCTTATGTTGTCTTGTGATTAAAAGCAAAACTACTTGGATGGGCAAAAACATGGAGAATAAATGTGGGGGCTAGAAATACTTGGCCTCTTTTCACCTACTGCTATGCAAAAAAGCAGACAAATCAGTGACAGAGTGCAGAAAGGAAAGGAACAGCTCTTCTTTCTAGACACCAGAGGGAGAAGATGCACTGTCCTGAATACCACAGAACAGCCTTAAAATCGGGATTTCAGGAAGTTATAAATGCAACTAATAGGAAAATTCTTTTTAGCATTTATTAAGTCAGCTTAACAAAGCAAGTAATTAATCACTTTCTGATACTCAGCCACTTGTCCACAAGCAAAGCCATACCTCTATGCATTGTAAGCAGTTATATCTACCGAACAACTCTCCTCTACAGAACCTTACCCAAGCTCCTGTGTCTCAGGAAATAGAAGAGGAAGCTGAAGAAGCCATGTGACTTGGACACAGTCACTTAAACGTGAATCATACATTCACAGCCCAACCAGCACACCCTGACATCAGAGTAGATGCTTTCAAGATCTGTGAGATATTCTTGCTTCTCACTAAAGAAACAGAAATTCAGTTTGGAGGAAGGAAAGAGGTAGGAGTAGGAGACCCCCCTTTCTTTCACAGGCCTCCTCAACACATCTGCACCTTCAAGAAATTTTAGAACATCAACTCAATCCACCCAAGTGAAACAGTTTTCAGACATCTGCTCCTCCTCTGGCTTCTCTTGCTTTTTCATATCATTTTGTTCCTCCTTCGGTGATAAAAGTGGTACAGTTATGGGAAACAGAAGCAGGGCTAACCCTCACACCTGGCCTGTCAGCTTCATAGTAATCCCATGTTCTTACTGAGTGAGCTGCTTAACCCTTGTGTGCTCGTTTCTCACAGAGAACAAGATCTCCTCTCTGGATGCTTAACACACTTTTTTGACTGAGCACATGAGGGCTCACAATTTACAGCTAATTTAGAGCTAGACTCTGCTCCAGTTATAGGATTTAGGTCTTTTAAAAAGTCGGATACATGAAGTCGTTCAATCATGACATACTTCTGGATGAGGAACAGGATAAGTTACACATGCCACAGGATCTGTGACCTATGGAATTTAAATAACTCTCAAAACCTTCTGCTCATGTCAGAGACCAGGGAGGAAATAAAAAAAGCTTTACTCACTGATAGTTTGGGACCAATATTTAGGTTTCAACAATCCAATGAAAATACTGAAGAACTTTTTCTCACATTATTTAAGAAATAATTTTTGCTACATAAAGAGAGCAATTCTGCAGAGGACTTCGAAGGGACAGCCAGTTAGCCTACTTTCAATACCTTAGTTATGAACATTGGAGGAGTTAAACCAATAGCAAAACCACTGTGCCAATTGCTAACCTTCACAGTTACACAGGAAGAAATAAACTCATGGTGAAGTACAGCCAATTTTAAGGACATTTCCTCCTATGCTCCCCCAACAAGGATATGGACATGCAAAGGTGCCATGATACTTCTGGTCAGCAAGCAGATTCAGACCTGAACACAGCTTCACTGTCCCTTGGTTGCAGTGAGGGTTGACACAAACACACCCCAATGAATCCAAGACTTTACAGGAGCTCCTGTGGCAGACACTGAAGTCACAGCTGCCTTAGATTGATCTAAACTGTCCTGCCAAAGGGGTTCTCTCACCACCCTCCAACTCTCTGGTGCCACCACCAAGTGCTCATCAGCTGTGTGCTGCTTTTGAAAAGACAATGAGGCACCAGTTTCCCTTTGCTGCCACAGAGCCAGGTCCCAGCAGAGCTGGCCCCAATAGTGGCTATGGGAGCAGCCCCAATTGCAGGGCCCACTCCAGGAATACAGAGCACTGTGCATCCCCCTTCCAGTAGGATTGAGCCTTAAGGAGACAGGCCCTCTGCTCACTGCTAGACAAGCAGCCCACCCTCACCTCAGGTCTGCAAAACCCTTGGCAGTGTGGCTTTGTGGTTCTTACCTAAGCAGGGGCCTTGAACATATGGTTTACAGGGGCAGCAACACTGGCTCTCCCTCTCTGCCCCACCACGGACCTAGCAGGGATTTTGTCTAATTTATTCATCAGAGATGCACTTTGAACTAGCACCAAGGTTGTGCTGGCTGCCAGAGAGAGCTGTGGTTTCAGCAATCTGTCCTCCAGGGGAGGATGGACCAGCCTGGCCACTCACACACGTGCCCAGCATGACAGCACCCTTTGGGCTGAGCAGAGGGAAAGAACAGAAAGCTGGGGACTTGCTTGACAAACAAAAAGGGAGCCACAGAGCACCAGGCAGCTGAGACAGGGATGTTACAAAGCCACACTGTTTTCTGGTCTCATTTCACTACTTAAACTAAGGAAAAGGGCCTTGTAGAAGTGATTTCTGCCTGCCAAAAGGATGCTGCATACACCATAATGGAAAGCAAGGGAGCCTTCTTTCCTACTCATTCTCATGACTCCAAATACATCTGTGCATATTGACTGTTTTTCTAGGCTGAGCTGAAAAAGAGGGAAGGACAACTCAGGAATGAAAAACACGGAGCACTGAGATAAATGTAAGATGTATCTGTATTCACAAAAAGCTTTAGAGTATGATCTGCTAAATACATTAAACAATGTGCCAGTCCATTATCAAACTGAAGCACTAAGTTATATCAGGCAAGGTTCTCCTCTCTGCCTCTCAAACCATCAGGTCCCACTCAAAAAAATCATATAATGCTTAAGAGCAAAATGACCCAAATCTCAAAACTGTACAGCAAAAATGAAAGGGGACAAAAACTAGGCCAATAGTAAGTGCCTCTTATAGGAGCTGAGGTGGGAATATAATTAATATAAAATTATATAATAATATGTCACTGATTTTCTTTCCAGATGTCCTTCATGCAAGAACCTCTTTCCTCAACTGCGAAAAACCAGCTTTATGGATTTTCATTAAACTGGGCCAGCTCACTAGCATTAAGATTTGGCCTCACTTTGCCTTTTATTTTCATGCTGCAAACAATCTAAATCCTTTGCTTTGCATTTCATCCATCACAAATAATATCATTACAATATACAGTACAGAAAGCTGCTATAGCCTGGCAGAATACTTAATTATCCACTTGAAAGTTAAATTCCTTCTTATCCATATTGTTCTCTTTGATGACAATTAGATGAAGAGAAATGTATTTTTGCTATATTTAGATCAAGAGAAAGCTTTGGGATGATACTGATAGCCTGATGTTCTCCTAAGTTTTGGCTGCAGCAACCACTGCTGTTGGTAAATAGAAGGAAATAAACTTTTAAGAACTCAGAAGTGATGGGGCCAAAATTAGGAGAGAAGATTTTTCATGTTCTTGCCAATAAATAAAGTCAGAATGGGCGTGCTGCTAAAATGACAGGGGACTTGGAACACACCATCTCAGTGTGCAAATACCACCCCATATCAGCCCCAGAACACAAAAATAAAAAAATCACAAAATGCTATGGGAAGTTGTAAAGATTTGTAGTTTTCTTTCTACATTCTGGCTGAACTAGTACTGCTTTCTCTTGTCCCACAAGAAAGGCACAAGAAGTAGCCCCAAAGGGCGATTCTGCTAGCAAAGCTGACATCAGACCCTGCTCGAGAGAGTCAGGATTATTTTGCCAGCACCGTGCCCAAATACTCTATCAGCCAACTCCTTGTCACAGCATAAAGGCACCGCAGCCCAGCAGAACTTCTCACACAAGGAAAACCTCAAGGCCTGTCTCACGCTTCACATGCGGGAGCAGCACCATGCATTGGTCCCAACACTGCTGAGGACATCAGAGCCAGCAGGGGCTGGAGGTGACACTCCGGGGACACCCAAGGACACCTGTGCTGGGGCTGAGTTCCTGTGTCCCAGCCGAGCTGCTGCTTTCCCCTGGGCCCCCAAAGGGACGCAGCAGGGCTGGGATTGCTTCCCTGTGCATCCAAGTGCGCGGCCAGCTCGGCCGGAGACACAGACAACCAACATTAAAGAAAAGGGACATAAAAAGCCAAGATAAGCCCCACCCCACCAGGCAGAGAGGTTGCAGGAGGCCAGAGGAGACCTTGCTGCCGTGCAGATGCTCTTGCTCCCCTGCTGCTCTTTTGAACGCTTAAAAAAATCTGGCTGCCTCTGAAGGTGTGCTGGAGGCGCTCCCAAATGAAAGCCGGGATACGCCGCCGCCGCCCAGGAAAAATAGGTATACAGGTATTTTAGCACATGTACATACACAAACACACGCGGAAATATGTCTCTTTTTTTAATATATAATATGCAGCTATATAAGAGCACGCAAATATACTTATATACACACACAGAGACAGAGGTAGCTCTGGGAGCGCGGTGACCCCAAGACCCCGCGCGAACGCCGGCGCCTTGCCAGGCCGGGCCAGGCCCGTCCCGCCCCGT